AAAAACTACATAAAATCAAGCTAAATCAATATAAAGCTGTTCTAAACGTGATATAATGTTCCAAAATTGAAATTTTATTCATCGTACAACTTCCTGCACGATAATTATTGGTAGTGGGCATTTAGCTATAGACGAAACGTAGCTCAAATACTCTTATTAAGGATATTGTTCCACAAAATTGCTCCCCTAATCAGAAACTTTCCTAAAAATAACGTTAATATTAATCCATCTCTAGCTACTATATGTCTAATACGCTAAATATTCTTCTAGCTGTTAACAAAAGCACCGAACTTCGACGGCAGTGGCGACATGTTGGAGTTATATCGCGAGCTCAGCGAGGAACCGACGATCGACCGACCCGACAGATCAGACACCGCCGAGCGACCTGAACAACCAGAGCGAAGGGACAAGCGTCGCCTTAGCAAACCACCTTGGAAAGCCTAAACTTTTATCTAACTACTGCCTAATTTTAAACAAAAGCATAACAAATTGAACTATAGTAGTATATAAAAGGTTAAATATTCCATAACAATTTATTTACCATTCAAACTCTCGTGAGACATACTAAATTAATTATTATGTTTTCAGCTTACTCACATAACTGTTTGACGAGGAACTCGACTAGTTTCAAGCCATGTCAAAGCCAAAGTCAAAGCATTTATTTCAATTTAACCATAGTTTGGTACTTTTGAAACGTCAACAAATACAAAATAAATAATAGTCTGTCAGTCAGTCCGTCAGTGAAGCTAGGTGAAGCTAGGTGCTCATTCCAAAACGTAGATTCGAATGGAGAAGAACGAGCAAGAAACTCCATTCGTTACTCTTTTAAAAAAGTATGTTCTACAATGTCTCTGATACATATTTCAATACTGTACGCATATGTAAGAACAATGCAAAGACACGCTTGACGCATTATACTAATAACTTACTAAAATAAAAATAATAAAGATCTTAAGTCTAACATGGTGCTCACATATGCATACTGACAATCCATAGAAATAGTGCTTCTATACAAGAAAAAGGAAACTCTTTGTTTCAATAAAGAAAGAAATGCTCGATGCCATAAGGAAACTAGATTGTCTACATTAGATGATGATGATGATACATGAGCAGCATTTCGCGATCCGCGACGCGGCGAATGTCGCGCAGTATCCACGCCTGAATATGAGCCTCTAGCATGGCTTTAAACTAGTAGGGTCCCTCGTCAAACGGTTACGTGTGTAAGCTGAAAACATAAATAATTCATATATTTACCAATTTTCTATCTCAATAATGCCCAAACTAGCTGTAATGGAAGACATAAATACTGCCACTGCCTGATATTCAAAACAAAGGTGAATCTCTAGATACTGTAAAGTCTAAACAAACCTATATCTTCTATATCTCTTTTGGCTATTCGCAGTAATACTAGTGTATAGATACATTTTGCCACTAGATATCAGAGGCATAGTACGTGTTCAGCGCTCTGATTGGCCGGGTCCAGAAAACCAACCAATCAGAGCGTAAAACAAAGTCGTACTATGGCCTACGAGGCAAAATTGTGTCAAAAGTTTTATTGAGCTAAATCTATCGATCATAGATAGGTTATTGAGAATGGCTGCGTGCCCTGAAAATTATTAAAGTGTGATAAAATTGTAGTACAAAACCGTAAATGACAAACTTAATTATTATTATTACTTTCTACAAGAGTTTATATGGAATGTATGTTTAAATTAAATAACAATAGATTTGACAATGAAATCATTAGTTATGATATATCCGAATTAAAAGAACTGTACAAGATTTCATAGTAAAATACCTTTTTGATTTAATTTTCTAAGTTCTTGATAATAATTATGTTTTTATGAAATTGTTATTCCCAGTCCCACCGTTTATTTCCAATTTCTTATGTCCCAATGCTCATAGTTCAATATAAGAATTTATTTCTAGTTTTTTAAGGTGATTTTTGTAGTTAGGAAGAATATAATTATTATTGTATTTGTAAAGAACATGTTTTTATATAAAGTTGTAATAAGTCGTACCGTTTGTATTCAATATTGTTATGATATTAGAACATTCCAGATTGCACTCCATATTTTTTTATGTTTATAAATAAATTATATTTTAAAGAATTTTTGTATTGTTTTCTTTTCCCTTTCATTAAAATCCCAGTGATAAAATTGTCACCACAGTTGGGGCCCAATAGGGCTGATGCCGATGCGGAGCCGCGGAGAACTTATCGGGTTCCCAGGGCTCCGGCTCGAAGGGCAGGAGTAGCAACGGGGTGGTTTTAGTCAGTAAGAGTCTGCTACTCCCTCCCGCCTCACCTAGGCGGGAGAAATCATTTGATGATTTCCCCCCTTAAAAAAAGTGATATAATTGTAATGATTTATAAAAAATATTATTTTGTATTGAAACAAAATTATAAATAAACAGAAGGTTACTCTTGATTATACAAATAATTAAATACTAACTTTTTCCAGCGGCTTCGCCCATGTTCCTGTGGAATAAAAAGTAGGCTGTGGGTGTATTCCAGACCATAATCTAGCGCTGTTCCAAATTTAGTCTTATTCCCTACAGCCGCTAGGTTAGGTGAAGGAGTAACAAATAAACATACTTTTGCATTTATAATATTATTAAGAAGCAGGATAAAAGAACTATTAAATTTGTTATTATATACTTCATAACTTCATACACAGTAACAATAATATAATGGGTTGAATCACTCAATAAAACAAACAAATTATGTAACGATTATTTATTTATGAAGGTAAATGCGATTTAAAAATATATTCCAATCTAATTATGATGGCATCATGATCTTTATACAACACTAAATGTACACTTATTACGTAAAAAACAATATCTCATTCATAGGGCAAGAGCTTAAAGAGAATAATTTTGTTTCAATTAAAAATAAAGAGAAACACAGCCTAAAATATAAATATAATATACATTTATATCTATACTAGTTACAATAAATATTTTTATATCGTGTTCGGTGCACTATACATGTACATTCGTCCATAAATTAATTTTCAACGCACAAAAGTAAGAAGTTCATTGCATTGATTTTTAGACGAAATTTGAATTTAGTTTTCGCTTTTTAAGTAACACTTAACAAAAATAAAATCAGCCGAACACAGTACCTCCTCCTTTTTTGAAGTCGGTAAAAAGAAGGTAGATATACTTTACGAAATGAGTTTTTGCTAAAAGAATAAGTACTTAATAAAAGAAAACAAAATATAATCAGCTTGATTTGATAAATATAGGCAAGATAAAAACAAAGAGATACAGAAACAGAATGCACAGAATTTTGTTAACATGAAAATATAGTTTTTCTTATTAACTTATATATTTATCGATAAATATACATGTATCGACAATAGAGATGGACACAAGAGACAGTGCCGACACGAAAACATCGATGAAAAATAAAAAAAAAAGGTAAAATAAATATAATTTATAAAAGATATAAATAAAAAACAGTCCACAAGAGTGACGTAAACTTATTCTTGATAATAATACAAATACTTATTTTTCATGAAATATGTATGGACACAATATAAAAGTTTACATTTATCAATATTCGCTAAATAAATCTGAGGGCTGAGTACAAGTTTGAGTTTGTAGCTTTACTCCGTTTATTGGAGCTCCGATCGGCTTCTTTTTCTTTTTAAAAAACGTTGCACCACACTAGAATTTTCTCCTATGTCGGGGGTGCGTTTAAAAACATGCTAGTGCACATACACATAACACTGTCCACAGTTTCAGACAGTTCGGTCTGGACCCAAAGAGTTATTCCATGCAGGAATCGAACCCACGACACGTTGCCGGCAGCCAGTTGCCCAGCCACCGCGCCAACCGTCAATCAATTGTTAATTGGAGCCGGTCATTTAGAGCGCTGAACACGGTAACACACTCGTACTAAGCTCTCAGGTGTTACTATTGCAAATAATCTAAATTACACAAATATTCAACAATATTTACGACAGTAATCAGTTGTTTAATCTGAAATTTCAATGGACATTCAACTTTATTACAACATAATAATGGTACACTATTCCGTCGTGTTCAACTTGCATTATTGTAATTTCTTTAGTATAAAAGTAACATTAAAAAAACCGTCAAATCTAAGTATTTATTAATATCATTTTGGCTACAAACAAATCAAATCACTAGTCCGATAAATATAGAGTTGATATTAACATAAAATTAACAAAATTGCACAAAGATTTATAAAGTTACAACTAAAGACAAATGTAATTATTCTAGCGGTTTATTTCAAAATGGGTATTAGCTATACTTTAATAAAAAAAATTACGTAATAATGCATCGACATAACTTATTACTATAAAAATTTTGTTATCAATGTAATATCAGAATTATAATAATACACATAAATAATCATAATAAATATCCCGCGGCTAATTACACTCCTTTCTTTACATTTCTTTATTACCTTCAATAATCACATTTCCCCTAACTACATACATTTTTAATTTTAACATCCAAAATAATACAATTTTAGTAGAAAAAAATTGATCAAAATATTTTATTGTTCATACTTTTCGTGTTTGGATATTAAATATCAATTTTGTATAATAACTATCGTGTGACATGCTAGATTTTATTAATAATTACACACTTATTATCGTCAAACCATACATGATTATGAATCCCCGTGTGGCTTCGAAACTTGTCGAGCTTCCTCGAAAATTGGTTTACGTAAGCAGTAAGTAATTATTAATCAAATTAATAATGATTATCTATAAATCTGTGGTATCACGTCACTGTCTAATTATGATTATAATAACATCTATCACAATATTTTTTTAAATATATTTTATGTGATGTCCTAGTATTAGGTATCTTATATATTTTAATTTGGCCTAATATGCCTCGTGTTAAAACATGCATTAGGTAGGTTTGGCAACATTGCATGACTGATTGCATTGTATATAATATTAACTCGTTGAGTACCGTCATTATAGACGCAATTATAGAACAATAAGTTGCGGTCACCGGTGACCGCTTGGTGTTTGACAGTTTAATTCAGTACATGACACTATATTTTATATATTTTTTTTTTAGTTGAATCTATGTAACAACTTTGCTAGAATTTAGTGTCTATTTTTGAAATACTATTCTATTTTTTAAGAATTATTTGAGATAATCGAGCTGCAATCATGCGAGTACTTCTCTTTAGATAAGTTACTATTTTCATGGACTATCTTTGTTATGTATCGTTCCACTGATCCACTATATATCTTACGATGATAGATGTAACTTTGGTAATGTTAACAATTTAAATCTGAGTAAGATTTTTTGCGAAAATTATTTATCTTGCTGCTGTTTAGTTTATATCACTAAGAATTTTACACTTTTTTTATGAATTTTAACAAATATGTCAATAATACATTTGATGGATAATTTACAGTTTAAATTAGTTCTTTAACAGATGCATTTGGAAACGGAAAACAGCCAACTGCGATTACAAAATAAATAGGCAACTAAACTTCCATTGACAATGTTAGACGCAAATAGCCAGCTATATATTTAAAGGCACGATACTCATCTGTCCAGAATCCAGATAGTGACCACGATAGTTGGCTAAGGTCTCAGGCCAGAGCAGAGGCCGGTAACGAGCTGTGCTTGGGCTTGGCCTTGTGCACAAACACTTTGATGCATCCGTTGAAGTCCGCGCTCACTAAAACGTGACCAGTCTGGGAAGATGCTACCATACCACCTTCTGCGCCCTTCTGTAAAATTAAAATGACATTGTATGACTTATTGATATACATTCGAAGTGTTCTACTGATTCAGCCATTATTATTTATTTATTATTTTCAGCCTTGATCGTCCTACTGCAGGGCAAAGGCCTCCCTACCCTCCTTCCACTACTCTCTATGTAAAGCGTTTTGCGGCCAATCGGCCATTAGTTCTTTAAAAATAAGGGTCAAAACACAATGATACAAATAATTCCTATGTCATTTGCACACGAACAGTTAACGATACGTATACGATATGACGTCGTAAGCTTAAAGTATAAGTTTGAATAGAATAACTGTCAAGAGATATAGATATTTACAACGTAATAAATAGGTAAGTAAAACATAGAAAGCTACATACCACTTCCTCGTTATCAGCGCCATCATCAGCTAATTTCGCCTCCTGCTCCCTCTCACTGATCATGCGGATCATATGATCAGGGTTTGGTGCGAACACAGCACAAGTGACCAAAGCATTATGAGCCTTAATGCCTTCCCAGAAATCGTTCCGATCTCGACGAACTGACGTGAATTTTGAATAATCGTGGTACGTTTTCCAAATATAGATGCACTGGTTTTCTGAACCGCTTACGATGTACTTTCCATCGTGGGAGAACGAAGCTTTGATTTGACTTGAGACGTTGACGTAACCTTTGTATTTGCACGATAGGTTTAGGTCTCGTAGGTCATAGAGGCGGATTCGACTGTCGTTAGACGTGACGAGGATCTTGTCATCATTTGGCATAGGTTCAATGCCACTGATCTTTCTTCCTGTGGAATTCTTCCCTCGTGTGGACCGCACGTCTATCTGTGTGTGGTATTTGAGTTGGTCTGTAGTGTAGAAGATACAGCGTCCGTCATAAGTTCCTACTACTGCGAATTTGCCATTTTGACAGAAGTTAGCTGCTGTTATTAGTTTCGTTTTGCCGTCTACTTCGTTCCATACTGCGACCTGTGACAACATCATTGTGTTACTAAACGTGTAATGTGATTACCTACTACGTTTTCTTAATATTTACATAACATAACATCACGCCTTTTTATCCCCGAAGGGGTAGGCAGAGGTGCACATTTCGGCACTTAATGCAACTGTACAATGTAACACCCACTTTTCACTATTTTATGTTATAAGCCCCATGTAATAGGGAGTGAGCCTATAATATTTACTGTTTTTAATAGAAACGTCGTTCATCATATTAACAATATTAGTATTTTTAAAGCGAAATTTTAATATTATATTTTAAAAAATACCAACAAAGTATCTACATACCTTCTTATCAGGAATATTCCACAACCGCAGCTTGCCATCGAGACTACCCGACAGGAAGTATCGATCGTCTCTCGGATGGAACACGATGGCCGTCACGAAATCAATATGTTGGAAGCAACACAGACACTCGCCGCGCGAGATGTGCCATAGTCGGACTGTCTTGTCCATGGAACTCGACAATAAGAAATAATTCTTAGACCACGACACGTCTAGCAAGTCGGACGAGTGACCTGCGTACACACAGAAGGGGGCCGAGCAGAAGGGGGCTGAGGGGGACGGAGGGGGGGAGGGGGCACGACCTGATAGGGACGCTAGGGACTCCTGGGAGGGGGTCGGAGATGATTTCTGTTCTAAGTTGTATTTGGTGCGCATGTCCTGTAAACAAATGTCTTAAATTAATTAAATATACTATGATTAGAGACGTGAAATTGCCAGGGTTGATATTCTTGTTTTTTTGAGGGCTTTGCAGTTCATGTTAGCTTTGCATATTTAATGTGAGTCCATTTCCAAAAATTAGACATAATTCACTCTGTACTATTTTTGGAGTCACACTTTAGACTATAGTAGAAAAAGATCACAAAATTAATTGCATTAACATATTGTCCACACGCTCATATGACTCAAAGTGTATCGTTACTGGTAGTAAATAAGGTAGGTTACTGGTGGTAGGTGCTGGTGTTAAGTTTAAGGGAATCACATTTATAAATAAAAAAAAATGATTCCCTTAAATTTAACATGAAAATCATATTCAAAACATTCAATTTAAAACTTAAATCATTTTTTTACATTATGAATAGGGATCTTTTTCTAGTATTTTATCAGAGCCTTTAACGCAGCACGATCTATTGCAATGATATTCATTATGAACAGTTGAAAGACGTCCACTACAGGACAAAGGCCTCCGCCCTTGTAATGATGTTATAAAAGTAATGACCTGCTGGTATTTGATATTTTTAATTAATTAAAAATGTTTTTAGATAGATAAGTTTGGATTACGATGAGGCTGACATAGCCTACTGGTTAAAAGCTCTAAAATAATATCAATCCGATTCTCTTTTATACACAACAACAGATTTTATTTTGTAAACAACTTTGGGCTCTAGTTATTAATTAATTAATTTCTGTAGTTATTATATTGTAATGGCAACCTGTGGGACAGGATAGTGTTGTGGGTTGCATTATTGTCCAAAATGTATCTTGTGTAAACTATGTAGTTAGTAAGACTTTATAACGTTTGTGTACCTATTAATAAAATATAAATATATAAAATGAAATCCGTGGTAGAAGCAGCCAGTACCTGGAACATGTGGTAGGCGTCCCTGGCGACCCAGACCCGCAGCAGCTTGTCCTGCCCCGCCGTGGCCAGCAGGCGGCCGCAGCCGCTGAACTTGCAGCACCACACGGCGCCGCAGTGACCCGACCCCATCTCCTGCGGCCACGGACCATACACATTCATTTATTTACTATTTGCTGAACTTGCAGCACCACACGGCGCCGCAGTGACCCGACCCCATCTCCTGCGGCCACGGACCACACACATTCATTTATTTACTATTTGCTGAACTTGCAGCACCACACGGCGCCGCAGTGACCCGACCCCATCTCCTGCGGCCACGGACCATACACATTCATTTATTTACTATTTGCTGAACTTGCAGCACCACACGGCGCCGCAGTGACCCGACCCCATCTCCTGCGGCCACGGACCATACACATTCATTTATTTACTATTTGCTGAACTTGCAGCACCACACGGCGCCGCAGTGACCCGACCCCATCTCCTGCGGCCACGGACCATACACATTCATTTATTTACTATTTGCTGAACTTGCAGCACCACACGGCGCCGCAGTGACCCGACCCCATCTCCTGCGGCCACGGACCATACACATTCATTTATTTACTATTTGCTGAACTTGCAGCACCACACGGCGCCGCAGTGACCCGACCCCATCTCCTGCGGCCACGGACCATACACATTCATTTATTTACTATTTGCTGAACTTGCAGCACCACACGGCGCCGCAGTGACCCGACCCCATCTCCTGCGGCCACGGACCATACACATTCATTTATTTACTATTTGCTGAACTTGCAGCACCACACGGCGCCGCAGTGACCCGACCCCATCTCCTGCGGCCACGGACCATACACATTCATTTATTTACTATTTGCTGAACTTGCAGCACCACACGGCGCCGCAGTGACCCGACCCCATCTCCTGCGGCCACGGACCATACACATTCATTTATTTACTATTTGCTGAACTTGCAGCACCACACGGCGCCGCAGTGACCCGACCCCATCTCCTGCGGCCACGGACCATACACATTCATTTATTTACTATTTGCTGAACTTGCAGCACCACACGGCGCCGCAGTGACCCGACCCCATCTCCTGCGGCCACGGACCACACACATTCATTTATTTACTATTTGCTGAACTTGCAGCACCACACGGCGCCGCAGTGACCCGACCCCATCTCCTGTGGCCACGGACCATACACATTCATTTATTCACTATTTATTTTATGAATTTTTACATAGTACAGCTATGTAAAAATTGCAGTTATTGTCTTAAATCTAAACCCGCCAAACTTAAACGTTTAATGACAAGAGACGCTAATTAAATAACTAATTTAATTATATTATAACTAGCGACCCGCCCCGACTTCGTACGGGTGCAATATTATATTATACATATAAACCTTCCTTAAGAATCACTATTTATTAAAAAACCGCATCAAAATCCGTTGCATAGTTTTAAAAATCTAAGCATACATAGGGACAGACAGACGACGAATAGCGATTTTATTTTATACTAAAAAATATATTGTAATTTGTAGGTAGGTACAATTGCAATATTTTTTAATATACTTATCAAAAGTACTACGAACTGTATTGGCTATATGCGCGACGGTGGCGACGCGTAGCGTTTACAACATTTGCGGAAGCTGTCATATAATAACAATGTAAACATTATAATTTTCTTTGCAAATTTAAATAAAACCAAAGATTAAAATAGTATTGTTGACATTAATTAAGTGCAATTTATTCAATAGCTTTACTGTAAAATGAACATAATAATAAAAACTGGGTTTGCATTATCCGCATTTGTTTCCAATTTCTGCCGTGTTGTGCGCTGCGGTCGTTATCTGTCCGCCACTACTCGCTTTGCACATAGCCAATACAGAGTCCTTCGCCACGACTCTTTATTTGCTCTCTAAAGTAAAAAAAAAACGGTTACAATAATGTACCATAAACTGAAAATACGGCCATATACAAACCTGCACATGTCGAACACAGCCATCGAAGTCGTAAGGTCCTTTATGTGAGTTGGAAGCCTTCAGCTTGATGTTATGTTCCCCGCGCACGTCGTCCGCGATGTCCGCCACGTCCTCCTTGTGCCGAGCTTGGGACACTTCCTGAGCGAGCGACTTCGCCGCGTCCACTGTCTTCTTTACCGTGCTACCGAAGAAACGCTTCAATCTAGAAGAATAAAATACGATATTACGTTACAATATATATAGATACTAGCGACCCACCCCGGCTTCGCACGGGTGCAACATGCATGTATTATCCATATAAGCCTTGCTTAAGAAACACCCTATCTATTAAAAAAAACCGCATCAAAATCCGTTGCGTAGTTTTAAAGATCTAAGCATACATAGGGACAGACAGTCGGCGGATAGCGACTTTGTTTTATACTATGTAGTGATTAGGTTGTTAAGTTGGGGCATGTAGTTAGTAGGTATCTGTAAGCTATTACGCCTGTATATCGTTATAAGAAATGTGTTCAGCAGCGTAGACCGCATTACGAATACAAATAGTGTTACTTTTTTATATTTGATGGGCCGACACTTGACTACTATCTCGCCTGTTGGTAAGCGATGATGCAGTCTACAATGGAGCACGTTATACCATAAGCAACATATTAACTCGGGCCTTGAAGACACTCAGGTTATACCCTTCAGGAAATACAGATTCTGGCTAAGAATTCCACTCCTTAGCAGTACGCACAAGGAATAAGTTGTACCTACATTTACTATGCGAATATAAAAGTATCCTCGATCGATATTGGTTAAATATAAAACAAAACCGATTAGAATTAGTAAAAGAAACTCTCGTCAAACTGTTACACTCCCAACGTTGTTTAGTTGCTATTACAAAACTAAGCATTAATTTACGCAGGTAACATAACAGCCTTTTTATACCCGAAGGTGTAGGCAGAGGTGCACGTTACGGCACTTAATGCCACTGTACAATGTAACCACCACTTTTTACTATTTATGTTATAAGTCCCATGTAATAGGGCCTATTGCCATATACAGGGCACAATTCCAGACTTCGTGCTACTACTGAAATTTATTTTAAAGTCCAGTAATATTTTGCCCGACCCGGTAATCGAACCCGAGACCCCTTGCCCGGTAGTCGCACTTACGACCACTTGGCCAACGAGGCAGCCAAAGAGAGCAAAGCATTTACGCAAGCATATTTTTGCAATTAGCTTTCCACACTCACTTCAAATTCGAAATGAACACTTTAGCTATCAAAAACTTAAAAAAAAAATTCTGTTTTTAACAATTTCCAACATTTATTAATATATATTTTGCACTGTTAGTGGTCACACGGTCACCTGATGTTCATATCTGAGTGTCTGAGTCTCTTGTTAATATTGTCCTGCGAATGACTTTTAACCAGTTTCGCTGCGGTCCTAAAGTAAATACCAAAGCTAATATAAATTATAAAATTCACCACAGAAAAGTTGTCCGGTAAAGAATGTCCTCAATACACTAATGTCGAAATACTCAAAGGCCACTAATATTAAGTCGCATTTAAGTATAGTTCTGTCTCTACAAATTCTTTGTAAAATGACAGAGACGGCACGATATTTAAGTACAACTTAAGATTGAGTAGCCTTTCTGTATTCGGGCGTAAGGGCAAATTTTAACAGAGGAATAATTCTTCTATACTAAAAATTGTCTAATGTCAATTTTTTATTCTACAGTTCAGTATTGATTGATGATGGAAAAATCGGCTCTTACTTAACGCACATCTGTAAAAGAATGAAGCTCTCTAATACAGAATTGCGTGTTGTATAATTTCAAGTTCTAAGGCCCCTAGCTGAAATTCAAAGTGAATTATAACCATAAAACAAAGAAACAATTACTGAGAAAATACTTAGAAAAGCTCTACTAGTTTCGAGGCACAGAGGGGTTCTTCCTCATGAGCAGAGTGCGCGGTCACGATGATGTCGCGCAGCCTACTGATGTAGACGCGTAGAACCCCTCTGTGGTTCGAAACTAGTACAGTTTGTCTTACTATTTTTATATGAGTAACCCGCGATTTTTAGTTAATTTTGTATGTGTCACTATAGCTATAGGGTTTTTAAATATTTTTCTACAAAACCTGTAAAATTCATAATTTCAGTCTATTATCAAAGTACTCACTTTTCAGTCTTCCTCTTGATACCAGTAGTCTGTCTGTCAGTGGACTCTCTCTTCATCTCCTTCGCTTCGTCCTCAGCGCCGCCCGCGCACACACTCTCACTCTCTTCGTCCGTCTCCCTGTAATAACAATACTATAACGTCAATTTATGAAGAATAAAAGTATCAGATTTTTAACTGTATGATGCGTTTTATAGAACGCAAGAAGCACAAATATTGGAATATATAATTATTTAGCTGTAACGGCTCAACACAAAATATGAATCAACATCTAAACGCCTGCATTAAAAAAACCGTCAGCAATATAACAACTGAAACCTTAGCTGTTATTAAAGCCTATAGGCTTTCATTCATAATTTTAGGACACATTTGAAAAGGTATTTTAAGTCCTATAGCGCTTACTTTTCACGCCTGTCCCATGGGGCAGAGACTTTGGAACACCAATTGCTACGATTCTTACATACCTCTTTCGCTTCATCAACAGTCATCAGTCCTTTCATGTATGCTCATCGGTTAATGGTACTTTTAAATAGTAAAAATAATACACAATCTTAATATATAAGCAAATAGAACAACTTAGAAAAATATCATAATATTGTAGCAGATGTAAGCTTGATTATTTCAAACATTCAATATTAGTACTTCATGTATTTCGTTCAGTTAGTTTATCTGTGATACAAAAATCATCCTTAAGCTGTGGATAAAAGATAGCATTTGCTATGAAATAAAGGTGTTGTCAAATACACTTTGTTTTTATATTTTAGTTTTATACTTTTAAATTCAAACGCAAATTATGATTGTATAAGCTATCAACTCTCAAAGCAGGATTGCCAGACGTGAAAATTATGAACATACAATTTGTGTTAAATAAAGAAGGCTGTCCGATTTTACGTGTAGTATTTAATATGCTTTTGAAAACATAATAATTATTTTTGTGTAATAATTAGAACTCGTGTACTCAACAGGTTTTGATAAAGTGGGTAAAATATCTTCTGCGTGTCGAAGTTGAAATATCATCTTTTTGTGGGATAAAAAAAAACTAAAACTTCAGTGCCGAATTTGAAAACTTTTCTTAAAGTGGGTAACAATTAATTGCGAAAATTCTAGGGTTTTGTATGCCCCTGAGACAAGCATAAGTAGTGACGTGAAATAAAAACTCCCAAAATGGTAGAATTTGTTAAATCTGGCAACCCCTAGACCGCAAGGCATTATGGCAAGCTGACAAGTAGAGAGTAGAAAGAGGACCTAGTCTCGAGACTGAGGTTGGAGGAGTGGTCGGAGCGCCAAGTGAGGTTTAGCGTCGACATGTTCAGTCGCCGCCGCCATGACAGTCTGCGCTTCACCTCAAATCTGGAAACGTCATCGCTGTTTTCCATTTCCATTTTAGGCTTTAATTCCTTTTGATATGTGACACAACAAAAATGCGTTGTCTTGATTAGATATTTCTTCTCTTTCGGTATTTATTTTTTCTAGAACTGTTGTTTGTTTTAACATAGCGTTTACAAAGATTATATTTATAGCACCCAGACTCGAAGACACTTTTCCAAGAAATAAATAATGAATACATAGCCCAATTTTGCGTTGCCTTTTTGGTGAAAAATTAGCACTTTAGAAAATTGTATCCTCTAATTTTTGTCATAAACATAGAAGTACACAGAAACTATAGGTCGTGGGACGAGTGTTGGCAAGTAGAATGACAGTACCTGGCGAGGTCTGCGTCGTGCGCGCGGCCGATGTACTCGGACGTGAGGCGCATGATGTGCAGACTGAGCGGGTTCATGCACTGCGGCAGCTTGTGCTCCGCCACGCTCAGCGGGACGCGCTCGCCTGCCACACACCGAGTTATTTACACAAAGCACTACTTTTACATAAGATAGGTTCACCATCATCTCTACGCTCGATCGGTGGCTTGGAGTAATTTAAAATATAATAAAGGCCATGAAATAAAGGGTATTGACTAAAATTGGTGCCTATCTTTTTTCTGGCGGCAGTCGATGATTTATGGAAAATATTATCTAGAATGACATTATAAACGAAATTGTCTATGGGGTCATATATGGAAATCTCAGTGTAGACTGAGTTATAAGCGTTGAAAGGAGCTGAAGTGAAACATTTTACTTTGGTTTTTTTATTCAAGTTATTCATGTTTTTGTCACAATTCCTAACTTCAAATTGCACGCCACTGTACGCTAGGCATAGGAACACTATATCACATCACAATGTATCCATATTGCCAGCCACTAATTTTTATTTATTTTCTCTCAGCCGATAACTTGTGGGATGCTTCTAGGAGTTGTGTCATGAAGCTTCATGAGCGTCAGCTGTGGTACCAGTGGTGGGTTGGGTAGTGGTAGCCGTCCAAACATCTAATAAAGTATAATTTTTTGCCGATGACTTCTGGTGGGATACTCATATACTTTATAGTTAGTAAATTCTTTTGAAGAAAGGAAACCGTCGACTTTGTAAAGTGATGGACTATACGCAGATGACCGCATAATTTTTTCATATAATGTGATCAGTCGAAATATAATTTATCACTTTGTGACTGAATGACATAAACCTCACCCCCTATTACATGGGACTCATAACATAAATAGTGAAAATTGGTAATATTATACAGTGGCATTAAGTGCCGTAATGTGCACCTCTGCCTACCCCTTCGGGGATAAAACGCGTGATATTATTATGTGACAGAATAACGATATCTTTGTACAGAATCTTATGCTATGATTAGTTACTAATCGGAAGTAAGTCGGGAGAAGTAGACAGAAAAATGATTTTTTCGTGATTTGACAACCGCTGCTACTAAATCCGCTACCAACACCGTAGCTGACAAACATAGCACTTCATGATAGGGCTCAGTAAAGTATTTTGCGGGTTTTCGACTGAGAGGAAATCAATGATGAAAATCTGTCATAGACCATAAACTGTATACATCATATAAAGTGAACACGCTAGCCAATCAAGCAAAATATTTTTATTTTACTTCAGCAGTGGCCAGTTAATGGTTCACTTTGTTCTAATTCCGTGGGTTTATAAAAAAAAGTACAAAACAAAATAAAATAGGTAAGTAAAAAAGTACCCACAATAAGCTTTATTATATTTCTTGAAATCGTTTATAAACATTTATTTTTAAAAAATCCTGAAATTGCAATGAAGAAATATGCGTTGTGTACGGTCACCATCAACAAAATAACAGGAATACTCGGTTCGAACTGTGTTTTTGATATCAGACCCCCTATATTTTTTTGTTTGTAATGTTATTCTGCATCAGTTTTTCCACAATTGATCAACTGCCGCGAAAAAATGAAAAGGCACCATGCGCTCCATACAAATTTGGTCATTGTCATTTAACAACAATTTAAAAACTCGAACTTAACAATTCATACTTCACTATTTAGCGCGAGTTATGTGTAAACTTAGTTGTCAAAAAAATGATTTTGAATATATTCTAAGAATCATTAAACCACAGTGGCATGAAACATGAGCTCAGATATAATTAAATTATTTATATTAAAATAAATATAAAATACAACGTCATTCCACGTACCAGTATCCAAGTTCAGCACGGTGACTTGTTCCAATATCTCTATGTCAGTGAGTTGATGTCCGGAGACAGTGCGCGTGCGCAGCGAGGAGGCCAGCCCCAGCGCCGCCTCGTCGCCCGCCGACCGACGACGGGACCCGCCTAGTGACTCCGAGTTACTGCGTCTGGTACACAAACATACAGACATTACGCTTGTCTATAGTACTCGACAAAAAGTATTTTTTTTTAAGGGGGGAAAATCATCGAATGACTGCTCCCGCCTGGGTGAGGCGGGAGGGAGTGTCAGACTCTTACTGACTAAAAACCACCCCGTTCCTTCTCCTGCACGTCGAGCCGAAGCCCCGGTTACCCGTTAGGTTCTCCGCGACATTATCTTGAGGATAGGAATGCTTGGCAGCGTGTTGATTCGGCCCCACTGGACAATACTCAAATGTAGTCAGTACCTAGTTCAGATTACCATAATAGGTAATTTAATACTTTGATTCCGATGAAGGCAATCTATTTTTCAATGTGGGAACCATGTCAGACTTAAGATATTTGTTTTCTCTTGGTTTTTTTTTTTATTTAAGTACGTTCTGTTATTTGTATGTCGCGTCAGGTATGTCTTTACATTATTCTCACATGTGTGTACAATATTGGAATATGTATCAGAGCAGTGTAAAACAGACTTTTTTTTTAAAAGAGTAACGAATGGAGTTTCTTGCTCGTTCTTCTCCACTCGAATCGACATTTTGGAACGAGCGCCTAGCTTCACTGACGGACAGACTGACAGCCTATTATTTATTTCATATTTGTTGATGTTTCAAAAGTACCAAATTAAGGTTTAATTGAAATAAATGCTTTTGAGTTTGTGTTTGATTAAAAATGAGTATATCTTACCTGGCGGCCGCAGGTCTGGAGGAGGGCGGCGCCGTACGTCCTTCACTGTGTGTACGTACGTTGCGGTCTTCAGAACGAGCCGTGGCTTCATCTATAACATGAATCAAATGTTTAAATAGCTACGGTTTTTAATATAAATGGAAATAATGCTTAAATTGATTTCTGATAGTATCAAAATATTAGTTTTTATTGTGGGTAAGTCAGAAGTAAAACTAATAAGTTTCGAAAAACCTCTACAGTACCTAACACCATATCGAAATAACATATCGGTGGCAAGAGCCATTGAGCTCTTCGAAACTTATTATTTAACATAATGTATATGTTATAAGCTAATAAATATTATGTTAAGTTTAACACTAAAATCCATACCTCTGAGCGGAGTATCAGTGGGAGCTCGTGGCGTGGTGCGAGTATCTCGTTCGCTGGGACGAGACTCGTGCAGGCTCAGGGACCCGCGGGAGCTGCCTGTATATACAATAACATTGTTAATAATACTCTTTTTAATTTTAGCGCAATATCGCATGTCAATTGATTTTTATTGTAAAGTGGTTGGCGGCACTGTTAACTGAAGATCTTATTAGGGCAGTCACAATTTATACCGAAGATTAATTAAACACACGAGTTCGCGAATGTACCAATGTTAACAAGCTACCACAATAGGTAAATTTTCATAGCACTAGTACTGGTTTTTTGGATATTTCAAAATAAGTTATGTGGACTTACCATATTTAGAGCTTGATAGTTCGAGTGAATCTTGGAACTCTCTGGTGAGAGATTCTATCGTACTGGCGGGGCTGGGCAACGCCATTGACTGATTCACAGCACTGGGAGGAGGTGGCTGTAAAAAAAGAAATTCATTAAATGCGAAAAAGCCAGACTATCACAATTACATCGCGATCGGGTAGGTATCGTTTTTGGTTCAACAATAATACGAAAATTGGTACCAAAACAACTAACCAAGAATCGAAAAGACTGCTTATGTTAATGAATGTAAAAAAACCAGATTGAGAAAAGTTTTCAATCAATGCGCAAAACAGAAATATATTACTTATATTTGCGCAAACTTTTCCATTAGCACCACCTCACGTGGGCGATTATTCCTGAACGAGTACTAGTCTTCATCAAACTGTAGTATTATGTCAAAAATGACTACATACCTCAACAATCAAAGAATCGAGCTGTGGTTTGTCCGGTCGTCGCGCGATGTATCGATATTCATCCGTGTCCGTCGTACATACGCTCAAGTTGTCGCCGTCCGTTGTCGATAGAGACTGAGATCCATGCAACTTGTCTACAAGTGATATAACATAAATAATTATGACGTATAGAGGAAACAAATATATTTTATGTTGAGGAAAATATACGTTTTGGTAGATAGACAATTATTTATTAGTACGTAATTTAATATCTTTTTGTATATTTATTTGTTTTGATTTCTGTTTAGGTATAAAGATATAAGTTATACCAATATTTTACTATACGACACTTTTAAAATAATAATAATTAGTATATTAAGATTAACGTAAATGACACTAAATGTGTTTTTAACATACTTAAGTTCGTATGTTGTTTGAAAATCTTAGACCCGGTCATGAAATGATGGTATTTAGCTGGTAAGTGAATGGTGTATAGGTACTGACTGCGCTTCTTCCTGCGCGGCGGCGCGACTGGCTGCGCGCGCGGCTCCGTGGCGCCGCTGACGGCGACGATGGCGCCGCCGCCGCGGTTGTGTTTCAAACTGTTCGCCTTCGTACTCGCTATCACGTCCGGCTCTGCCATCGCTAGCACTGACAACCAACAACATTATCAACTAATTTCTCATCTAACGTGACAATAAAAGTGATTTTGCTATAAACCGTACTATTGGTTTCAACAAATCAGATAATGTTGGTTCGATGGAACTTAAACTCATCAATGTCATCAATCAAGAAAAGTGGCCATCTACTGAGAGCTTGGTGAATCTAGCAACGCCACTATTATTTTGTTTACCAGTTGTATAATTCTACTCACCATTCTGAGTTCTATTCTCTGAGGTGAGTTGTTCGTCGGATATGGTGGAGGGCTCCCTCGATGACACCGATGGTACCGGCGCGGTATCACGGATGTTCGCTAGAACAAACATACACACATTGTAATTATTATTACTAAAAATGTGTTACGAAGAAAAAACAAAAACAACCATTTACATAAAGCATCGAAAAATTCGTCCGCATCGACGTCAGTAGGGAAAGTATCCAGAAGGCTGGCAGCATTGCCACGTTGTATGGCAATGCTTAACCTCTGACCGAGAAAAAGACCAGCCCTCTGGTCACGAGATGTGTCGACCAGGCGTTTCGAAATGTTTTTGAACATTGAACATTGAGCATTGAATTAAGTTGTATATATTTATTTAGTAATATTTAGTTTTAATTTTATTTAAGTAATAGTTACGAAGGAAGTGAAGAACCTAATCTTCATTCATACTAAAATTTACACCTGCAAAGAGTTGCAATCTTAGACATCGCTCGGAAGTCGACCGCTCGATTAATGAAACAGTGATAAACAGTATCTTAGAAAATGTATGAAGAGTAAGTAATGTTTATTTAAAATATTAATATTCTAATATTAAAATCGGTTTCCATCCAAACCATGGCTTCAGTCTGTGATAAAAATAATTTAAGTGACGTGATTTACAAGTCAGAGATCAGCAGCTAATTATATTTAAGAAGTCTGTTCTTGAAGACTGAGTCAGAGGCAGGAATGATTCACAACATATTACATACTCAGTACTAAAGATAAGTGTTAAACAAGATTGATTTTACGGTCTGTTCTTTCTGTAACCGGGATGTAGAACTTGGGCACTAATCTCTGAACTTATGCCAGAGACCAATATGTTTTGCGAATTTTTGTTAAAAAGACATTTCAGACTTTATGGTGCACCGGGATCGCGGGTAAATTGCAATATCAGTACTAAGGCCCGGCCACAGAGCAAAACATCAAACAAAATAAAATAAAAATTCATTTTATTAATATAGATTTTGATTTGATAGAATAGGGTATTGGTTAGTAATGGTCTGTCAATTTCATCTAGGGAGGATACTTTTGATATTGTTTTCCCTAAAAAATGCTTTTTCGGTAATATTTTAATGAAGAATGGAAGAACCCCTCTGTGATTCGTAACTAGTAGAGCTTTTCTCAGTATATTCACGTGAGTAAACCGCGTTTTTACTTAATATTTCAATAATTATTATTTTCAGCTTTTTATTGATTTATCTTATAAATGTGAGATCCAACTCCTACATACTACAGTGTACAGATACTTACAGTGGGATTCTGATGCTCCACTGAGTATTCTGCCGATCCTGCCGAGTGACGTCATACTCTGCAGGCTCATTGTGTCGTGTGCTATTATTCTGTAAAGAAAAAACAAATAATTTACCAAATTATTCAGTTGTAAAAATGATTACTGCAACACATTGAAAAAAACCATTTAACCTTGAACAATTTGTACAATTTTAAGGTGTTAATGAGTATTCTGTTGTTTTCCTAATTGTTGCTTAATAAAACAAGTACTAAAATAATAAGCTTTTAAAAATATACCGCATTTGTGGACAGTCATCATGGATACTATCGGCTAAGTTTACTGTAGTACACTTTTTTAACAAAATCTCGCTATCCACCGCCTTGTTTTCCCTGCAGTCGTTCGCGCTTATAATTCGAATATAGCCTAATGATGGTCGAGCATCAACTTTGTCGATGGTACATCTTCAGGAAAGTGGGATCGATATTGATTGATCAAAGACTCGCAGTCAGTTCAAACACAGAACAATTAAAATCGCTGATAAATAGCAGTTAAGATTTACGATATTATAGATCAAAAACCTACCCAGAATAGGTTCATAAATCACAATTAATTGATGTTCAAAAGTCCTGGTCTAATTGATATCCATAAATGATTTTGACTTTGGGTTTGATAAAAAGTTAAAACGCACTCACTTGAATGGATGCTCAGATGTGAAAGTTTGCTGATCTACTGAGCCAGTGGCATCAGGCACACCTTCGTCCTCCTCCTCAGTCTGCATGCAAAGACGTAACTCATGGAATCTTCGCCGACCTTGCACCAACTGGAAGAAAAAGTAGTAGAGTTAATACTGTCTGATAATAGCCTGAATTTCAATGTAGACTGGTGGGAATTGGACAACCTAATTCCTCCTAGTCCATTTCACCATCACACTACCTGACAAAGGACAAGGTGCCAGGAGAAAGACTGTACCCAATATATTACAGGTGGTACTGAGCGGAACATAAACATAAGAACATTCTTATGACTATTATATTATAAGGTAGGGTTAAATCTAATAAAATAAAGACCATGAAAATATGATCAGACTATTTCTTAAATTTAATTGGTTTTACTATCATGATTAATGTATTTTGTTGTTTCATATAAATCCAGATTATACTCACACTGTTTACTGTAGTCCGGTCATCTTCAACGGGTGCAGTTTCTGTAGCTACAGAGTTAGTACTTCGAGGACCTGGTACTGCCTGAACAGCCTCAGTTTTCAAAGCTGGAGTCTTGTCCTTCTCTGGAGCATCTCCACTCTCTGTTACACTTATATTCTTGCATAGTGATGACCTTCTGGAAACAATTTTGCATATAAAATATCTTTTTTAAATGTTTAATGGTTTAAGGTCCTGTTTGAAAATGTCTCACTAGGTTCTTGTTAACTTGAGTGATATTTTAACATATTTCATATTGGAAAAACTAATAGAAACTTAATTGAATGTTATAAAACCAGCCCAATAATTTAAAATATCAATTTAAATCTAGTACACACCACAAATGGCCATGGTAAATTAATTAATAAATCGTACATCTAACAATGTAATAAAAAAAAGGATGTTTTCATATTAATGTAACAACATGCACACATATTCACACAGCTAACATCAATATGCAAGTGAAACATTGTCAATAGTTAGTGCATAAGTGGGACAAATTCACAATTAATATGTAAACCATCAACTTATTGGCTAATCACGATGTGGTCTATTAACTCATTGTTCTAGCCAAATGAGCCAGTCTCGCATCGATGGATGACTGTTTTTTATTTGTTTTAACTTGTCGCTAGCGCCAAGGACGCATATCAATAGCGTTCGAAACATCTGTTCGTTTCATACAACACCTGATTCAAAATAGAATATTTTTTTATTTATACTCATACATTCATCATAGATACGCCGGTTCAATGCACAGTAATGTTCGTAATTGAATATAGTATGCTGTAACAGGCTAAGTGTTAAGTGTTCAATAATAAAACAGCGAAATTGTTAACGTTTTCGCTACTTACTTGGAACCTTTAATGGGTGTGAACTCTTCAGCGTCGTAAAATTCCTCAGAATCGCTGCTATCGCCCATTTTGAACTGGAAAACGTGTAGCAGCACACACAAACCACAATTTCAAAGAAAAATATTTACATTATCAATAACTGAAACGTTGTTTTTTAGAATAAAATGAAAGTTAGAACCTAAATCGTTCCTCAACTCATTTGACACTTGACATTTGGCTTGACTTCTCCCTGCTGTGACAACAGGAATGTCTTAAAATTTGACAGTGGTTGGTTGACAGGTTTACTTGAAAACCTGGCTTTTTATCTTGAGGTCGCCATAATTGCTCTGCAATGTGTTTCTTTTTTCAGCGTTCTTTTAAATTAAATTAGCAAGTTAGCTAATGACTAATATGCACTATAAGGGAAAGCCAAATATATGGATACAATTGTATATTTTAAAATGTACATATTCTGAAGTTTCGACGTTGTTGCTCCTACCCTCATGTATTCTAAGTTTAAATTAATAAAATAATTATGCCCACTAAACATATTTATCCATCAAGTAAATGTAGCATTTCATTGCATTTACAGAAATTATTCCGAGATAAGCGCCTGTGATATTTAAAAACGCAAGTAGAAGTAAATACACAACTTACGTACATTTACTTTCTTCTTACGTAAATTAGTACCACCAGCACAAGGTCGGATATTGTGCTCAGTATATGGCAATAAGTATTAGGTACGTACATACCTATACAATATGGGACTCATAACATAACATAACTGGTGAAAAATGGATACAACTTTCCCATTGGGGACAATTGGTGTAAAGGTCTTAGAAAACCCATTTAGATCCGTCAATTCAATGTACTAGCACAAAGGGCCAGCGAGGCCTGAAGTAGGGATCTAGGACACACGTAATACGCAATTGTTACGCTTACGAGCAGAAGACCTAGACACAAAATACAACAGGTAGCCTGTAGACTGGCTGTCGCTGAAAACTATACGTTGGTAGATAGATAGCTATATGTATTTAGTTTAAAGTTCAAACTTAAATTATAAGAAAATCTACATTTATATTTATGTACCTATAGCTTGGCAAAAAGTAGTTTGACGTGGCTGGAACTAATATTGACTACCGGTAAACGAGCGCCCATGGAGACATCGCACCTAGTCACCAGAGGCGTTACAAGTGCGAAGAAGAATCATCCACTTCAAACCATACCATGAATAAATCTCAATCATACGAACATATTATAAATATCAAAACCGATTGTTTCGTTGCCACATGTACGACACAAGCGACGTCATTTATTCCGAATTTTATTTTACCAAGCTGAATTGCCTTATCAATCAATATTCCAAAGCTTAGTAATTTATGGAAAGCTAAAGCATTTTGAGAGGTTTCTCTTACCAATAAAAACGGGTTTCCCCAAAGATATTATGGTCAAATAGTGACACATTATAATGACGTCACATTCAGTCTTTTTTTTAACTGCAGGCACGTTCATACAAACTATGGCAGATCAAAGTCGTAATTGATAAACTTATTGATTTCATTCAGAACCAAAATCAAATAATAGGTAGGTACTTATAATATTATAAAGTTAGATGTCTGCGTAACTGTAAAGGACAACGAAACTTCATCCTTCCCAAACTCTAGATTAGTCTAGTCACCATTAGAACGAAAGTTGTAGGAACTTAAATTAAATAATGTATAATAAATGAATGTTATGGAATTAAAAAAAAATCTTTTAAAATTCTTTAACGAAGAATAAAATTAAATGCAGTCATCAAACGAAGTTTTTCCTGTCCCATAAAATAATATACAAACCATTCACACCGGGAATTTCCGTGCTAACGAAGCCGTGGGTGGAATGCTAGTTTCGAGTAATTTGTAATAGACAACAAAAATAATTTGACACCTTTTTCGAAAGACCTTATTTTGAAATCCCGTACGTATTGTTCCCGTTACGGTCGTCGCATTTGCTACCAACCTGAACATGAATGACCGGCCTCTTCATCCTTGCTGGTGAGGTCATCTGTCACCTGAGATCCCGAAGGCATTGGCCTAACGGGAAGGACGTCCTTGCAACTTAGAATATTCTTTTGTTTTGTTAAAAGTAAAAAATCTTAGGAATATCTAATGATTTTTGGGGTTTGTATTGCAGAAGATATTGTACAAAAAATATGTTTTCTCTATTACCATTTTAAGGGAGAAAGTAATTTGTTTTTCACTGAGCTTATATTTGAGGATTGGATTGGAAGAAATAAAATTGACACACCCCATGATATACCTACCTACAGTAGTAGTCAAGCACGAAGTAGGTAATTATAATTAGGTATTACCTTATATCTGGAATTGGGCCCGGTATATGGCAATAGGCTCACCCCTATTACATGGGACTCATAACATAAATAATAATAAATATTGAAAAGTGGGTGTTGCATTGTATAGTGGCATAATGTGCACCTCTGCCTACCCCTTCGAGGAGATAAGGCGTGATGTTATGAGTGAGGGATGATGATGATTATTATTAGAGGCAAGGAGACAGTGCCTTCGAATTTTTTGGCGGCAAAATTATATAGGTATTTCTATAATAGAAATTCACCCTTTCAGGAAATATAGTGTAGTTGTTTTCCCTTTTTCATCAACTGCGGAAACGAATCGTATATCGAATAAGTTTTTACAAGCCTTTTGTAGATTGTAGGAGTAATTAGTTTTTTTTTTTAAATAAATCCAAGGCCAGTCTGTTAGATTCCGGTATTGGGTGAAAAATCAATGTCTATTTGTTTTGATTGATAAATAATTTTACATTTTAGCGATGAAATGGATAAATGAAAGTGCCTCCTTTTGTTATGATTAAGCTGCTTGTGGACTTGTGGAGGCCTTTGTTCGGCAATGGACGTCTTTCGGCTGTTGATGATGATGAGCTGCTTGTCAAGTGTGTACAACATAATATACCCATTTGTGGAGGATACCCTTACTTAACTCACAGTTGGGCATAGACGATTAAGACCAAAGGTGAAGCTTGGCTATTTAGGACGTATCAAAGGTTTTCTATCGGATCTAGCACAAAGCGCTTCTTTCGAAGCTGCATTCTTACGGGTTTCCCGAGAAATTCAACCCCAATAAGACACAGCTTAGAATCAGCGCTAAAATACCATTAACCTGATAAAATCAAAAATTGAATCTATCTCAGGAATCAAACCCAAGACCACGTGACACCAAGACTAATAGGGATCATAAGCGCTATTAGCGAATTTTCTGAAGCTGAAAATGAAATACTGCCTCGTTGGCCGATTGGTCGTCAAGTGCGACTGCCGGGCAAGGGGTCTCGGGTTCAATTCCCGGGTCGGGCAAAGTACTACTGGGTTTTTATAAATTCTCAGTAGTAGCACGGAGTCTGGAATTGTGCCCGGTATATGGCAATAGGCTCACCCCCTATTACATGGGACTCATAACATAAATAGTGAAAAGTGGGTGTTACATTGTACAGTGGCATAATGTACACCTCTGCCTACCCCTTCGGGGATAAAAGGCGTGATGTTATGTTATGTTATGTTAATGAAGATGAAATAAACTGAAAATCTATTTTTCCAATGGGATATCGATTTACAGCGATTACTGCGTTGAAACCTGTTTTCTCATCATATAAAAGAAAAGCTGTAGCATCATTCAGTTGAAGCAGTTTTACTACTTCGATACTTACGTGGGCAGCATTAGATTTACAGAATATACATGACTTCGCTGTTTACAGAGTAGAGGAATTAGAAAAATCCAGATTAAAATCTGAATCACTTTTTCTGCCAAGTCATTGTGTTGTAAAACTGTGGTCAAATTGAAATGATATAATATCCCATTGGTTGGAGGGAGATCTGGGTGTTTTGTCCTCGACATGCGTCATGCATTCGAAGCTGCTATATAACAGTTGACCTCCCTCCTCTCGCAGTTATTCACTCCGACAGTCCCGTACCGGCTGCACGCGCTGTGTTTCTTGTCAAAATCATAGTTTAAAAAAAAACGTAAGTGTTTTTTTCTACTATATTTGTGTTGTGGCGGACATTTTAAATTACGCGGCAGACATACATATTTAATTTAGACAAGCTATAACCAGTCGTAGGGTAATTGTTTTAAAACAATTAAGTAAGATTATTTTAAGTATTCACCAATTAACTAAGTAAAAAGTTATTCCAAGTTTGTATAAAATTTGTTATTACAAGTAATTTTATCAGGTAACACCCGTCCGTTTAGTCAATTAAAAAAAAATTTAGGACTATAGTCAGAATTTTAATTAGATTCCAGATTTGACAATACCTACTGTCATTTTGTGAAATAATGATACCACATATAATAGTGTAGAGATGGGCACAAAAATCGATAAACAATCAGTGTGTGTGTTTTATAATAAATGTTACAGAAAGTGACAGGATAGCGATAGCGATGACGGCGACAATTTATAAAATAAGTTATTACCATAATACATCTATCTGTTTTATTTGTCATGTTCCTTCATGATGACATTTTTTTAATTATTTCACACACAATTATAAAAGAAAAGTCTCAGATCGTTTATTAATCGTCAAAACTAAATTATTGGTTCAGAAATATTTAATTTCCTGATATACTTAGTTTACGAGAGTAAAATTATAAACGATAAGAATCGATCCAGAAATATTGCATTTCCATATCGAATAATTTCGCAACGTCACTATTTAGTACTTGTCATAACGTTGCAACACTGAAATTGTCAAATCTGGAATCGAATTAAAATTCCGAGTATAATTCTGATTTTGAATGCACGCAATAAAACTATTAGTTGGCAATAGATTTCAATTTCTTTTTTCAATTTATTTCGCAAAATATTTTTATGTCGCTTACAGCCTACACGCAAAAAAATAGTTATTCGAACTGTGTATTGCTTAAATGCAGTGAAAGGCAAAAAGTAAACTAGTTCAATTAGTTCAAAAACAACTTCCCACGTTATTTTACGTATATATAACAAGTGTAGTATCGAGAAAGTGCTTTTAAATCGTGATAAATGAAACATTCTAGTTGCTATGCTAACAATGCACGAACATACCTATGTAGGTACCTACCTACTATTTGTTTAGAATTTTAATCGTGAAGTTTTATTTAAACTGCACTTGACTATATGCCCCTCTTAGATAAAGTTGTAAGTACCTACTTAGATAAAGTAGGTAATTTAGGCATTTAGTTTTTTTTAAATAAATACCTAT